CAATATGGTGATCAATAATAACAATAAAATTAACATTAATATTGGAATCAATTTAATAATAATTCCAACAATATAAAATCATTAGAAAAATAATAGAAATAAAAGGAACATAAGTCTTACTTTGACTCTGTTTATTTGCAACTATAAAATAATAAACAAGTTAGTAACTTCAAGGAATAATAATAAAACAATAATTAAATTAAATTAAATTAAGTTGATTTGGGGCCAAACCCTCAAACAGTTCTACCTTTCACGCCTTGGTTTAAGGATAAAACCACGAGTAAAGTATGGACTCCTTGGAGTGCTTGAAGAGGGAATTTTGAAAGAACAAGGGTAGGCTAGTGTTTAGGCTAGAGCATAGAAGAGAGAAAAAGAGAATTAATTGATGCCCCGTACATCAGAAATGAGGGGGTATTTATAAAAAATGTGTAGAGGGAACACACGGAACCCTAAAAGATAAAAACCCTAAAAAATAGCACCGCGACACGGCAGATGGCACTGTGACACGGCACTGTCAGACGGGACAAATTCTCGTGGCACGGTGGACAGTTGTGTGACACGGGAAATATTTAGGGTACGGGGATTAAAACGCGTGAAGGGTTTACGCGGAAAGGACACAGGATTGTCCCGTGTCACAGTTCAGGCACCGTGTCACGGGGAATTCCACCGTGGCGCGGCACTGGATCCCGTGACATGGTGCTTACTACCGTGATGCGGGGAACCAGCAGTCCGTTTTTCCATCTAAGTTCATTTTTTACCCTAATTTTGTTCAGCATTTTTAAGTGCCGATTGATAATTTCGGGCCATTTCTGATTTATTATTATTATTTTGGCTAAAATAATAAATAAAAAACCTTGGGCCAAAATAATAAAATAAAATAAAAAAGGCTTGGGCTGAAATTAAAAATAAATTATGCTTTAACTAAACACCAAGACTGATCCATGTATCATTCAAAAATTGAATTTAATTAAATACAATTTTTTAAGCACTCTCGGGATTAAATATTGAACCCGACCAATAATGGTGGTGAAATATTGTTCATCATCGGGTTTGGTTTTGGGGAGACATTTTTAGGTGTCTACAGAAGCCCCCACTTTGACTGAGTTTGTAGAAACGTCAGTTACGAAAACGATAGTCAAAGTAGTCGATAGGGACGAAAAATGATTTAAGACGTTCTGCGATCCTAAATCACTCTGTACACGCCGATACCTGCAAAAAAATGTTAGTTACACAGATAAAAGAGTAAAGGGATAGAATACGTATCTGACACCAGTGTATCGGTGACAAATGAGTTTGGCAGCGTCCTATGCTTGAAGGAATCCACTGGATGACGTTTGCTGAAATGCTTTCCATGCCTGAGGAAAGCCGACTGATGAATTTGGTAGCTTTTTAAGCCTGAAAAAAACCTACCGGATAATACTTTCCATGCCTGAGGAAAGTCGACATATGATTTTGGTGTTTTTCTATGCTTGAAGAAATCCACCGATAATGCTTTCCATGCTTGAGGAAAGCCGACTTGGCGGTTTTCTATACTTGAAGAAAAATCCACCGATAACGTTTTCCATGCTTGAGGAAAACCGACAACTGATATAATCGCTGAAATTTGCAAGTGTATGATGGTTCGATTATCCCCGAACGTGGGCCGCAGATGATTTACCTTCAAGTCGACTATCCGACCATATTAGGTGTTTAAAGTGTCGAAAATGCAACCCTAATGCTTATTAGGGGTAAATCGATAATTTTGGTACCCTTTAAATACTAATTAAAATTTTCTGCGCAATTCCGTGAGAAAAAAAACTGACCAAAAGTTACGGAAAATCATTCCGACTTGATCAAAGATGCTAAAATATCTGCGAGAAGGTTGAAAGGAGTGTGAAGGACAAACAAAAAGGGCACCGCGCCACGTAAATAAGTTCCGCGACACAGCGCTCCAGTACCGTCAGACGATGCAATTCCCCGTGTCGCGGGGTTTTGTTTTTTCTCAAAATACCCACGCGTCTCGTACACAACTCCATGCCACACGCGGGAACACCGTTACACGGTAACGGAATACGTGGCACGGGAACGGGGTCGCGTAACAGTCGTATTTTTGTTTTTAAATTCTAGCTCCTGCTTCCCATTTTCGCCATTTTCGTTCTCGAATTCTTTCTATTCTCACCTTTTCTTCTCTTTTTTTTTCATTTTGGCGTCTCCTGCCAACGTGCCACGAAGACCAGCACTGTCACTCGTCAGGTGCCACCGTGACGCGTTTCAAGTCACCGTGACATGGTGTTTGTTCTCGGTGCGTGAGAACTTATTTCACCGCTTTCTCGCAGTTGCTTCTGCTGTCTGAGCTCCGTTGCTTCCTGCTGCTGCTGCCTGAGCTCCTCCGCTGTCCCGGATTCACCAAGACACGGGGAAGCTTAACTGTGAAACGGTGTTAGACCACCGTGTCGCGGTGGTTGTTGCACCATTTTGCGGGTTTTTTGAGCTTTTTGTAGCTCAAATCTCCACCAAATTCGCTCAAATTTTTTGCTAATTTCCTCGTTTTTGATTTCTCACAAGGATTTATGTAAGTTTCCTTTGCTTCGTCTCAAAATTTGTTGTAAATTCCATACTTTCTTGAATAGAAAAAAAAAAATCAAATTGGGGGTTTTCAATTTTGAGCTTCCATGTCAAAATTCTTGCTATGAATTGACTTGTATATGAATGTATGTGTGTCTGTGACAATTTGAGACCAAGTTTGTGTGTTTTGGTGAGAAATTGAGTAAATCACCATTTTTTGGTACCACTTGTGTGAAATGGTGTTCTTGTTGTTCATGTTATTCTTTTGCACTTGAAATGGTGATATATTGGTTGTAGATTTTTTAAAATATACCATGATGTGCCGATTTATCATTCTTGTGCAATTTTGAAACATGCTCTATTTTGTGTATGTACTATATTGTCATGGAGAGCATAATATCATGCAATTAGGAGAACATAGTATTAGTTCGTCATGGAAAAACTAAATACTAGAAATAATTCTATTATTTTGCTAATTTTTAGCCTGGAGGTAAAAATTTTGCGTATAATAGAAAATGCAGCTTGAGATAATTGTTAAGCCGTTTTTGAATAAATAATTAAATTACTTAGGAAATGATGCTAAGCATTTAGATTTTTATTTTTGCAATAGCATGCCTAGACAACGGGATCGCGATCTTTCCACTCAGTGGCAGCGACCTTCATCTTCCCAGCCTTCACAGCCTGAGTTCAAGCTAGTCATTACTCTTCTGGGTCAGGGTTTATACTCAGTTCCATTGTCTGGGGCGCTTCCTCCACCAATGCCCGACTTGTTTTTAGTTCCAGTGTCTGGGACGATGCCTCCACCGACGCTTCCTACCTCTTGGAGTCAGTCTACGCCGTTTGCCAGTTGGACGGGTCCTGCTTTGAGTTTGTCTGCTACAGGAGCTACAGGGACTAGTAGGGATACTACTCCTCGTACCCGAATGATGGAGGGACTCTTTGGTCCACCGTCCCTATATTCACAGGATGGAGATGACACTGATCCTCACTCTTCTAGTTCTACAGTTTTTTGACCGAGGGTTTTTATTTTGTACTTTGGTTGATGACACTTGACACTGTTTATGCATCATGATTCACTTTGTATATTTTATTCACAGTTTATGCATTTATTAGTATGTATTAGTGTGTGCTTGAGACTCATTGTGTGTGATTGTGTAATTAATTAATGACGGGAAAAAATCGTAAGTGGAGGCTACCGACCTTCCCCAAATGAAAAAAGGAATAAAAAAATAAAATGGGACAAGTTTTACAACTCCCCCAAAATAAAAAAGAAAAATAAACATAAACATGAAAATGGGACAAGTTTTACAACTTCCCCAAAAGAAAAAGGAAAATAAAAATAGAAAATAATAAAAAAAATAAAAATAGAAATATAAATAAACTAATAATAAATAATAAAATAAAATAATAATAGATAATAAAGATAAAAAATAAATAAATAATAAAATAAATGGAGAATTTTATTAGGGAATGAAACTCTCGAAAAACAAAATTAGAAGATAAACTGTGAAGACAAAACAATAAAAATCCGGATAAAAATAGGTAAAGGATAAAAAATGAAAATTCGTGGGCACCGCGACACGGCAGTGTGCACCGTGTCACGGCAAAGTCTGCCGTGTCGCGGCACTATTTCTCGTGATACGGTGGAATTTCCCGTGTCACGGTGCGCTTATTCTGTAGCGGTGTAGTTTGCGCGCATAGAAAGATAGATTTTGAGTATTTCCAAGCGTTTTGGCTATAAAATAGGACCAATTTATTTGTGATATGCATAATTACGAAACATAAAATAATTAGAATTTCATATTTCAATAATAATGTCTCGGAATTTTGATAATACATTGCGCGACTGGTCTTATTCTTTGACCAATGTTGACAAAAGAGAGTTGGAATTGTTTCATGTCAGAGGCTTATTAGCCTTAAGGCATGTAGCAATCACTACTACAAAAAAGGCCTTAGAGAACTGTTATAATAGGCTTTATAGATCGCCTTAAAGGCATTCTTCTGCTAAGCGATGTATAAAGTATAGAGAACGGGTCGTTTAGGCGTTTTATATAATAACAAATAGAGAACGGTTGTTAGTCACAACCGTTCTCTTTTCCCTTCTTAAATTTGTACACTAAGGAAGGAATAAAGAACGGTTTAAGCCACTTAACCGTTCTATATTGCATTACAATAGAGAACGGTTAAGTTAGATAACAGTTCTTTAATGTTTTTTTTTTAAAAAAAATCCGGCCATAATTATTCGAATTACCCTTGTACGTATTTTATATTGTATTATTCCTGTATTTTAATAATTTGTAATATTTTTGTATTTCATTTTAGACCTGTATTTGTTGTATTCCTGTTTTTATATCTTGTACATTTATCCTGTAAGAAAAATTCCACATTTCCTATGTAAAATAAATCCATGATCCTGTATACGACTATACGTGCAATATAAATTTCTGTATAATAAAATTAACAAAAATATTTTCAGATACAACAAAAGCCATCAAAACCTACTTCATATATATAATTTAAAACATTCAACCACAATTAAATTGAATCATTCATACAAAATTTGTTCTATACAAACAAATACGTGATTTAAATATCAAAACACCTTTATAGTTAATGTTGATTTAAAAAAAATTATGCTTAGATATATCAATACCATATTGATCTACAATTCACATAAATCATCGTCGTCGTCATTTGGTTGATGGTATCCGGTAACATATGAAATCCACTTTTCCCTAAGCTAGTCGATCATTTGTTGAGAATATGTATGAAGAACTTGCTTTTTTTTTTTTGAATACTACAAAACAATGTAAAATATATACATATTAGTTAATAATATACAATAAATTCATCTAATTAAATAAAAATAAGTATATCTTTTTTTATCTCAGTTCATAAAATTTTAACGTAGTTGAAGAAAAAAAAGGAGTTCTGGTATCTTTACCTATGAGATCAATTGTAGTCCCATCTTCCACAGTTATTTCACTAACAAAAGCTCCAAGATCCAAAAGAAGATGGACAGTTTCAAAATGCCCATTCAAGGCAGCCATATGAAGTGTTGTGATCCCTCCATCTGCAGGTTTGTTAATTACTTTGGCGGAGGGCACTGGTCCAGGAAAGCAGAACATAGAAATCAATAAAGTATATTATGTTTGGAAAAGTAACAAGAAGATGAAGGCACTATTGAGCCACAATACCTTGCATTAAACTCTGAGCTTCCATATTCATTTTTTGATTTCTTTTGTAATAGATTCCAAGTGACAGAAATGCTAGGGATATAATCAGCAAGAAGGAGCCTAATACACCGAGTATGCCCATTCAAAGCAGCTAGAGATGAAGAGCAGTACCCCCATTAAGATAATCTGCTCTGTGAATCTACATCTCAAATAACTACAGAGCATTAATTAACTTGCATACACCCACTCCTAAAAGTAGTTAATTCTGTTTTAGTTCCCAAAACCTAAAGCAGAAGAAGTGAACATACATTGTTTGAAAAGAACCAGAGTCTGTACAACCTCTCAATGGCCATGCTGACATGCTTGCATCAGAGCAGTCTGTACATCAAATCGTATTTTCTTTTCAGCACAGAAGATTGAATAGCTAATCTAACATGAATAATTGTGCATTGTAAAAACTATATACTGCCTTTTATCAAGTTTTAACATAATGAAAAGAATGATAACTAGGATTCTTTCCTACAGAACTAGCATGTAGGATCCTCACAAGCAAGTTGAAATGATATTCCATACAATCTATCGAGTATGATAATAATCATAGATAATGCAGTTACCTGGCCACGATAATTCCTAAGATTGATATTAACACCAATCTCGAGCAGAAGAGTAACAATCTAAGCATCAAATCAATCAAAGTCTCAAACACTTCCATATTTAAAAAGCACACAAGAATTTTACAAATCCCGAGAGGCAATCAATTACCTCATGGTGGCCCTGAGCTGCAGAGTAATGCAAAGGGGAGTTCCTAACACCAAAAGTTGAATACCTCACAAGACGAGGATTGTACTCCAACAACGCTTTGGCTTCCTATAAATCACCATCTCTAGCAGCCAAAACCAGGCGTTCTCCTGAAGCAGAGCACCCTAAAGAATTATTCCCAACAATGCTTAAGAACTTCATTGCCAGGAGAAGGAGAAGATTATAAACTAAATTACTCCCAAACCACCAATTCCTCCTCCTCCTTCACCTTAGGTTGCTAACAACAATAAGTATTATTGTTATTCTTGTTCTTCATCATTAAAATATCCAAGAATCCCAGAATTTGGATAACATAAACAAAGTACAAGTAAGTAATTCTGCCTCCTTATTTTCTACAAGCAACTAACAACTCACCAACGAACTTTTTTTTTTTTACATTAAGGTACGAGATTGTTTGGTGTAACGACCAAAAATTACTGCTAATCTCTCTTCAATTTGAATCCCTATAATACAATATGTATAGATGCATCACAATTCACAACCAAAAAATCAAATAGCTTACCACAATGAATTTAAAGAGGTCATCAATAACTTCTTTCGGAACTTCCTCCCAGTCGCGATAATTGATATTCACTCTTTCACAACTACACCAATGCTGATGAAAAAATATATCTATTTTCCCCAATTGGCACTTTATTGTGATTCCATTCCAAGGGGATTTTGAATTAGGGTTCTAAATTGAATTAGGGTTCTAAATTGAACTTAGGTAAGATGAATTTGGCTAAAATTATTTTGATTACTATTGAAATAAATGTAAATTCGACAAAAATTAAGGGTAATTTGATTGAACTTACTGCAATCCAACTGAAATATTTGCATACAAACAATCGATTGAATTTAACCCTAAAACTAGAACTTTGAAGTTTTTTGTCAATCACCTAAAATTCAAATTGCATATTAATTTAATAGATGAAAACTATGAATTTAATTATGTTTCCTTCATATTTCGAATGATTCATGCGGTTCGATTGACAAATAATCAAAATTCAATTAAATTACTCTATAACAAGAAGATTTGAACCTACCTCAATGGAGTGGTGAGGTGCTCAGAAGTTGTGCGGCGGTGGATCGGTGGAGCGGTGGTGCGGCGGCGCGGCAAACAGTCAGCGACTGAAGGTTATACTATGGAGGTTTCACGAAGAAATAAACAATACATGCAGTACTTTACATTTTTTTTAGGGTATTAGTTAGAGTGAAAGTGAAAATGAACGTGAAAGTGAAAATGAACGTGAAAGTGAAATAGAGGAGCACGCGCTTCAATATTCCTTTTAGCCGCCTTTAATTAATTTGGTCAAATTATTACTCTGTATATTTTTTCCTCCTTATAATTTTTTTAAGAAAAATAATTAATTAATACAATACAAAACGGTTGTCAAGATGACCGTTTTATATCATGTATAATAATTAATTATTTTTTAAAATTATTTCGGTAAAAAGAAATAGAGAACGGTTAACTATGCTAACCATACCATATGTATTTACATACAGAACACCTCTTATATAAATACGTTCTATATTCTTCTGGAGAACGCCTATCTTTGGTAACTGTTCTATATTTTACGATCTCTAATCTAGTTTTTGGTGTAGTGAATTGAACATGATTTTCTTAGGGCAACTTTAGACTATTGGAGTCCAGAAACACATTGTTTTAAATTTGATTATGAGGAATTATACCCCCTGCCGGAGGAATTCGGTGCCATCTTTGGATTTCCTGCCAGAAATCTCATTTCCATGCCTACCCTACGTGAGTATTATTAACAAGACTTTGAACGCCATCTGAATCCGACAGATCCAGATCTAAATAAAATTGTGTGTGGTAATGAGATAGACTTAGAAAAGCTTGCAAATTTGTATTTCAATCGCCCTGTCTCTGAGTCTTATCTGTATATTTTTTGTATGTTTAGCAAGCTTTTATTTGCAAACGGTAGGGTAGGACATGCTTGTTTAGCATCTGTGCTTGAACATGTTGAATCTGGGAGATCTCCTATGCCTACTTGCCTTGGAGAAACTTTGCGCAGCCTTGACGAAACAAAAGCTGACTGGAAAGCCATCAGGAAGGGCTCTCTAGTAATGTTGCAGGTAAAAACGCGCTCTGATTAGCCCCCGTGACACAAAGCAGGCACCGTGTCACGGTGCATTCTGCCGTGTCACGGTGGTTTTCTGTAATTTTTTTTGACTGATTTTTTTTATTTTGCATATTTGGTTGATGGAGCATTTGGAACTCTTTGAAGCCCCTGACGATATTGAAAAATATGATCCCAATGATCTAGTCCGCAGGAAGAAGAATTACTCTGCAAACATGTCATATGATGATTGGAAGGTCTTCTTTGCAAAGAGAGAATTTTCCATTCGGTGGGTGGTGCCTTGGTGGAGGCTTACTATGATGGCTGGCACGAATGATACTCCGTATTGTCGCGTTCCTAGTATTTCAAATCTGACTTTTTATTGTCTTTCTCGATTGATGCGACAATATGGATTTGAACAAGTAGTTCCACGCTATAACAATAGTTCTCGTGAAGTATCGTTGCATGAAAGTAACATTCACAAGTACGAGGCTTATTGGATTGGAAGACCTTTATGGACCGTTTCTGCAATTAACCAAGCTCCTCCTCCCTTATCTAGTGCATACAAGGCATGGTTGAATCCTAGAAGTAGAAGGGATCGAGTCGAATCACGCAACTTTGATGTGAAGGGACGTCTTGGAAGTAAGAAGACGCCTCCTAATGATCTTCTTGGTTCGAGAACACAAGGAATTGAGTTTAAGACTCCTATAATGCCTAAAAAGAAGAATTATGTGAAAGGAAAAGGTAAGGAAAAGATGGTTTATAGAGAGAAGCAATCGAAGAATTCTAAGAAAGGTGAAAGGGGTGAAAGTTCGACTAGGGGTGTGACGGTTCGAGCTACAAAAGACACATTAATGGTGAAGGCCGACCTAGTTGAAAAAGAGAAGGAGGTTTCTAAAGTGAAGAAGGATTAGATCAATATTTCTTTGCCTATATGATTTATAATTTTTAATTTTAAATAAGGCGCATGATGCCAATAATTGTAGTCACATTTAATAATAATATCATATTTATTTTCGCCTTAAATAAAAATTACAATAACTTTTTTTTTAATATATATATCCGAGTCAAGAAGTCGGGGGCGCAATGGAAGAATAATAACAAACGTCGAACAAATAACAGAATTCGCAAAGTCCAGTTTTACTGCGCCACGGAACAATTCACCGCATATTTTTTTTTGCTGGAATTCCACTGTGCCACGGTGGAAAACTGTCGTGACACGGTGAACCTTCCCGTGGCGCGTCAATTTTTTTTTTTGCTGGAATTCCACCGTGCCACGGTGGAAACTGTCGTGAAAAGGTGAACCTTCCCGTGGCGCGGCAATTTTTTTTTTGCTGGAATTCTACCGTGCCACGGTGGAAATTGCCGTGCAACGGTGTATGATGACGTGGCGCGGTGGATGTTGAACTGGCACAATGTCTGATTTTCTTGATTTTAGCTCCATTTTGTCGTGGCGCAATACTGAACTGGCGCATGTACTTGATTGACGGAGGAAGGATTTTATTTTTTTAAGTGGTCAGGCCCCCTTAAGGGGTTGCCTACATATCCTTAAAAAGGAATCAGGCTAAACGTAGCTCTATCGGGTCATGAACCCATGCAACTAGGCATACAATTTCTTAAGTTGATCCAAGTTGGTTAAATTGTGGAAACCGTTACCGTCCATGTCTACCAATTGTGCCGCTCTGCCAGACAAAATGGATTTAACAATGTACGGACCTGACCAGTTTGGTCTAAATTTTCCTCTTGGATCGAACACATTTTTGCGAAGTGCCTTAAGCACCAAGACACCTTCCTTGATGTTTCTAGTCTTGAGTTTTTTTATTGAAATTTCGCGCCATACGTTGTTGGTAGGTTTGGACATGATGCAAAGCTACCAAGCGTTTTTCGTCAAGTAAGACTAGTTCATCATATCTTGCTCTAATCCAGTCGACTTCATCTAGTTGGCTTTCCAACGCGATTCGGAGAGAAGGGATATCGAGCTCTATCGGTTGTACAACTTCAACTCCATAGACCAAAGAAAAAGGGGTAGCCCCGTTGATGTACGAACAGAGGTTCGATAACCCCAAAGGGCTAAATGTAGCTTACTTGGCCAATCTTTGTAATTTTTCGTCATCTTTCGATGATAGTCTTCACATTTTTGTTGGCCGATTCGACCGCACCATTTGTTTGTGGTCTGTAGGGTGATGATCTGTGATGCTTGATATGATATTTCTTTAATAGTTCTACGCACTCGGCTTGGAAATGCGTTCCATTATCACTGATCATCTCATGAGGTACCCCATAGCGGCATATGACATTTTTCTCAATAAATTGAGCTACATGTATTGCTGTTAGCTTAGCATATGAGGCATCTTCGACCCATTTGGTGAAGTAGTCAATCGCTACAAGGATGAACTCATGTCCCCCTTGTCCTGGTGTCGTTATCTTTCCAATGATGTCGATACCCCAAGTAGAGAAAGGCCATGGAGAAGTATATGTATAGAGAAGCGAAGGTGGAACGTGTTGTAAATTTGCGTAGACTTGACACTTCATACATTTCTTGACGTATTCGTGACAATCTCTATCCATAGTAGTCTAATAATAACCTTTTCGTTGAATCTTTTGGACTAACATCTTAGCATTCATAGGCGTTCCACATATACCGACATGAAGGTTTTTCATGGTTTTGTGTGCTTCTTTCTTAGTTATGCATAAGAGATTTCTCCCTATTGTATTCCTTTTGTGGAGTTCTCCCCTGATGAGCACATACTGTGAGGCCAGGAGCCTCAAAGCACGGCGTGCCCTTTATCAGTATTAGGAGGGTATTCTCCCTTTGTCACATAATTAAGGATATCTGTATACCATGGTTCTTCATCTTCTTCTTGTGCTTCTTGTTCATCATCAATGCGTGAACATAAGTCGTCTCGTATCTTCTTTCTATGGTCAACGCCATTCTGATTGTGTTCGTTGGAATTCGCACCATTGATGCTAACTTAGCTAGTGCATCGGTGTAGACACCCATTTGTGTCTCCCCAAAACCAAACCCAGTGATGAGTACCTTTCACGTCGAATCATAATCGAATGAAACGAAAGTGTGGAAAGGTCTAGTGTTGCGGAAAGTTATTATTTCTTTTCTCTTCTCTCTGTTTTTGAAAAATTATTTTAAGAAAACAGCCAATCAAGTATGGTTGATCCATGATATGGGTCAAATAGTAGTGTAGTTGGATGGGGCTTGCAAAGACCTTTCCAACGATATATTATAAGCCCAATTCCGATGAATATTGAGGAAGTTATGGCCAATTTACTAAATTGGGCCCGGTTTGAGTTTTAAGTACGGCCCAATGATCTAGGGGAGGGCCTAATATGATTTATCATTCCTAATGTAATTAGGAATGGTTTTGGTCTTCTAGAACATTCTAAAAGGTTTTATCATTCTTAATTCAATTAGGATTCTTTAGAGTTTTAATCAAGATCAAATAGCATTTTCGACTGAAATTATATTATTTTATCTTCAAGTACAGTAAAATTATCAGATTTTCGAAAACGCGTTAAAATCCGGTTTGGCGTCCAACCCCAGGCCTTGGCGCCTGGAATCAGGATTGGCGTTAGACGCCAGCCATTGGCGCCTGGCGCTAGCCACTGGTCCTGGCGCCAATGAGCCAGGTCTTCAGACTCTGTTTTGATAAATAATCTTTTTTGGATGTTTTTCTCTATAAATATCGTATCAAAAACTTCATTTTTATTCACGGGTTATCATCTATCATTCACCACTCTTTTTATTCTTAAGTTTTAATAAATTCCGCTTTCATTCATCATCTACAATCATCAATCGTCAACAATTAGTTTATGAATCATTAATCTTTTAGCATTCTTTCAAAACTTTGCTCTTTAATACAAAATTCTGCATTCACAAGATCTAGAAACACCTAGCCATATTCGAAGTTGTCTTCGCCCTAGACGTGAAAGGTTTTAATTTCTGAGGGTTTGGTCCCAAATTTCTCTTTCAATTATTTAATTTAATTGTTTTGATTACTATTTTCCTTGAAGTTACTAACGTGTGTATTTTGTAATTAGAAAGAGGTACGAGGCATCCAAGTAAGTACTTTAATGGTTTAATTGATTTTATGATGTAGATATCATGCTTAGATTGTTATTTATGATTCCTAGTATCA